AAAGCTGGCTTTGAATGTGAAGTTGTGGAGAGAGAAGGAAAACCACCATTTTTTCCCTCTCTCTCCCCACTAAGTATAAGATATATGTATTTAAAAAAATAATAATAATAAAGTAAAAAATGCGTGCAGGACCGTTTGGCTGGCGGGGCCACTTTCACTATTAATTTTTTTTATTTAATTTTTTTTTTGTTCTCTGAATATTCTTAAATAAATTAATATTCATTTTCAGTGGAGGAGGATCCCGAGGCATCTCTCGAATCTTTTGTGGTTTCTTTTTTAAAAGAAAATTTCATTAATGAAATAGTCATGATCAAGTAAATCTGGAGATGGCATCGAGATGTTACTGTGGTCTTCGGTCAAGTAGAATGAAACTTAAATTAATTAAATCCAGCCTAATAAAATTATTTAGAGATTTCGTGCCTTTAAAAATGTGAGACTCCACATTTTATAGTCTAGTGTATGAGATTTCTTATCAACCTTCTTTAGAACATGTCAGTCAGGTTTTTAAGATATTATCCTTTTACTTTCTACTGTCTTTTAAGTAATTTTGTCGGTCCCACTTTATCCCCAAGTGACTAAGTTGAGGTTTAAATTCATGTTCTAAGATGAGTGGTCCATGTGGCAGACTCATAACCTACTTATGTGGCAGACTCATAACCTACCTATAACGAGAATTATGAACACATTCTTCATATTTAATTTCTTAGAGTTTTTTTTTTACTATATATATATATATTTTTCTTTGAAAAAAAGAAAAAAAAATCTTAGAAAATTTTTATTTGATAATTATTAGATTTTGGATTAGAAAGGAGACGAGTTAGAGCAAAATATTTATTTTCCGTCTCAAAACAAATTTTGGGAAAACAAGCTTTTTCTCCTAATTGTATTTCAAATAGGATTCTCGATTCCATTCATGCAACCCCACAAAGACTTGTCTTTTGCAAGGGTTTTTTTTTTCTGTCATCTATGAGAAAATTGGATAATCATGAATCATATTGTACAAATTCTTGATAAGATCAAATGATAAGTTTGAAAACATGTTCAGCCAATTTCAACGCATTGCATATAAAAAGTATAACACGTTAGTTCAGTTAAACAGTTGATTTCTACATTTCAATAAATTTATAATCTCGAAACACATAGCATAATTTCAAGAAACAACCTAGAGACGTCATAAAAAGAGTGCTTTTTATAGTCTAAACTTCACCACCATGTATTTCTAGCTTTGGTTATTTAGTTTCATGTAATTTTAAAAAATTACCATTTTGATTCTATTTATATTTTTATGTCATTTCTTTCCATATCATAATTTCAATATGGTACTAAATTTCTTGAAATGTAGTTATAAATTTATCTTTAAGGATTTCTACGGTGTATAAATTTTGTGTTAAAATTTTGTAAACAAAAATCAAATTAGTAATTTTTTTAAAGCATATCGATTAAAATGGATGTTTTGAGAGTATAAGAGAACAAAAATTAAAATTAAAGAGACCAAAATAAAAGTTTTGAGTACCAAGATGAACTAAAGCTAACAACACACGACCCCAAAATAGTTTTTTTTTCCTTGAAATATGATGGCCCAAAATAGTATTTAAACATTACAAAAAGCTAAAATACAAATATTAAAGTATTAAAATAATGTTTTTCTTTTTCTTTTATTTATATTCTTAACCAAGAATTCGAATAGAGCATCTACTCTTCTACCATTAAACTAGGATCATAAAAACTTAAAACTAATTATATTTAATCTTAATCTTAATTTTTTAAAGTGCTTTCCAAAAGAAATAAATAAATAAAAAGAGAAAAACTATCCAAACACTACTAGAGGATTGGCTTCCACCAGCCAATTCAATCACAATCAATTAACCAAAAGGCAAAAACCATCATGAAGGTAATACACTTTTTTTTTATTAATGCAACATTATGATATAATTATTGAGCAATTCAACTTTGGATAACAACTTGGCTCTTTCATTAAAGTGCTAACTTTTTCAGGGTAAAGAGAAACCAAACTGTTACTTATTTGGGACATCATCATTACTTGGCTAAGCATGCTTCCAAAGAGAGACCAAAGTCAAATTTTTGTTGGAAACTCATTGTAAAGCAATCTCCATTAGCTAGAGATTCCTAGCTTTTCACTAATAAATTCAGAGGAAATAAATTTAAAAGCAATCAATAAGAAATATTATATTGTTTATATTTATTTATTTTAATAAATATTTCATTTGTGACATACCCCTTTTTGATTTTTACCTTTCACTTTAGCAATATTAAAAATAGAATTTGATAGACTTATCAATTGTAATATATTCCATTAACATATGCACCTCACTTTATCTTTATCTAATTTGATTTTTTCGATTTTCGTGCTCTTATAGAATATTAGTTGAATGAGGCTAATAATTACAATTTTACAGTCAATTTAATTATAATGCAACTGGTTAAGATACTGATAACCTCTCTTGTATATCGAATATTCGAATACTTACAATTATATTCTTTAAAAAAACCACATTAAAGAAAACATTAAATTTTTGCTAAATTTCAAAAGTTAAAAATAAGTTTTTCACAACTATTTTTGGCAAAACTTCAAATTATTATTAAAAATTTTAAACCAAAAAAAAGTATATAAACTTGATTGTTAAAACAAAATAATCAATAACAAAATTAAATTATTTTCAGGTAGGGATAAGATTTCAAACTTATTTGATATACTCGAAATAAATATACCACAAGTTACTTTCTTTGAGTTATTTAAGCACGACAAAACTTAATCTAATGCAAATAATGCCTTATGAAAACATATCTCTATTTCTTTGTTTTTGTTGTCTCCTTGTGTAATAATTGTAAATAATCAAAACAGCTGTAATTTTCAATCTTTTTTTTTTCTTGGAGAAAAAATCAATCTTAATGCATTAGCGCCAAATAATAATAATAATTAATAATAATAAAATCTCAATTTTAATTGTGATATTGACCTCCCAACTCTCTCTCCCTCCATATATATAGTGTTATATAATATGATGGAACAAACCCAACCTCACAACAATTATGAAAATTCAAGAAGACAAAATAATATCAAAGAAGGAGATCCATGTATCTGTGATCAGGGTTTTAAATTTCGAACGATACGTTGCAACATGTCGACGTGTCGAATATCTCAATATCGACATGGGGATGTCGAGGTGCTCGTGGCATGTTCGATTATCTTTTTAACTTAGTTATCAATCTTTCAAAGTTCGAGTGGCAAGAAAGAAGAACAAAAATGGTCCAAATCCTCCCCAATATTACTCAGTGGCATGTTCAATTATCTTTTTTAACTTAATCCTGCAATATAGAAAAGAACAGAATCAAAGAAACCATACATTTTTATTTCTTAAATAAAAAAGAAAAAAAAACGAACTGAATTATTTTATCTATTTTGATGATTTTGCTACCACAATTAATTAAAGATTAAAGAATGACCTTATTAATGATATTTGATTTCTAACTATTCGGTGGTCCATCTTTTATTTTAAACATGTAGACCAGACATATATATTTCTACATTCAAACTTTCTTAAAGGTCTCACGATGTCTATATTTCCTCCCAATCAAGATGTACTTAAATTTGGTCTTGATTTTATGGCGATGCACCATAAATTGCAAGTATTCATATTTGAATAGGTTAGTTACTTAACTTAATGGGTACATTTCTCTAATTAAGAGGTTATAAGTTCGAATCTCCACCCCAATTTATTGTACTTAAAAAAAGAAAGGAAAAAACTTGATATAGGCATGACAAAAAAGTAAAAATAAAAGATGAGCTAATTATTTTAAATAAGAATTATTTTCTAAAAAAAATAATTAAGTAGTGTTTATAGCAAATAAACTTGCCATGATCTTGGTAGTAGCGAAGTCATGATGGAGAGATCAAATTCTTGTTATTTTAGTCTACACACGAATAATCACAATTTACACAATTCACATCAAGTATCTTTGATGAGTCATAGACAAATCCTTTTCATTTATCCATCAATGAATAGTGATGCATTATAGAGACATTTGAATATATAACTCTCAAGGAATCTAAGTTACGTGTAATTGAAAATTTAAATTGAGGTAACGTGAACATGTTATATTTTAAGAACTATATAGCATTGAATGCATTCTCTAATCTCTCTTGATAATACTCTAATTAGAATTTCTAAATTATAGTCCTCTAATATCTATATCTATGTACGATATATTCTATGGTCTTAAGTAACAAATTTTAATTTGACAAAAAAAAAGGAATTCTATACGTGTTTCAAAGTATTTTGATTTAAAAATTTAACATGTTGAAATCTATTGGCAAAGACAACAAGTCAATTGGTAAAGATCAGATAAAATATTAAAAGAAAAACTCGATAAGAGTTCAATCCCTCACCTTTGTTGCATTCGTAAAGAACTAAGATAAAACAAAGTTCAAAATTCCTTAATAAATCATAGATCAAAAGAAAAAGTTTTAAGCCCTTCCATGTATAGACTTGGAAATATGATTGTTACCGATTCTCTCTTTCTGTACATGTTTTAATTTTTCTAAAGTACTGTATAAAATTTATTTGATGGATGAAATTTTTCAATTTTATCCAATTGTCCACTCCCTTCTGAACTTTGTGATTCATGTCGTAATAAATTAGTTAACATTTATCTAATCAGACATATCATACCATCCTTTCATTTAGTTAATAATATTATGAAAATAAAATTTCATTCAAAATACAAGGGAGTAGGTAAAACTTTTTAAACTCAGGATCTAAATAAACACAAATGTCCAAGTATAGGCAAATTGAAATAAAGCCCAAGATGCCTTCATAAGCCATGGCCCAAAGAAGAAGCTTGGGCCTTGTAGTGCCTTGATCTGATTTTAAAAAGCCCATCGTCACGAATTGGGCCCCCACACCGATTCGCTATTGAAGCCCAAACTGTGAGGCCTGCGGGGCCCGATCCCTTCGTTAAGAATTTAAGAGGTCGTTTCTTGAACGCAAACCCAGAATTCCGATCAATCAGAAGAAAGCAGAAGCTCCATTTTCTCTGCGACACAAGCTTCAGCTTCTCCCCGGTCTGCAATTTCTAGGTTTTGCATGGACGCTGTAGCAGAATCATCGCCGATTCCGGAATCGAAGGCGGATGATCCGACGATACAGGATGATCTCAATTCTACGGTTCTAGATCTCACCAGCTTTCAGCTCCACGACCTCGACTCTATCGAGCTGCCTTCTAGTTTAACGGAGTTGGACCTGACGGCGAATCGACTTTCGAGTTTGGACTCTCGAATTGGAGAGCTCTCGAACCTGAAGAAGCTCTCTATTCGTCAGAATCTGATCAATGATGCTGCCGCTGAATCGCTTTCTCGCTGGAACGCACTGTCAGGTCTCGAGGTATTCAATCGTTCCTCTTCGTGTTCGGTTTTAGAAAAATACTTCGGAATTGGTGGAATATTGCTTCGCATTTCAATTTAGAGAGCTCCTTATGTATATTCTTTGCTGTCGACTGCGTACAGTGTGAGTTTTAAAGCTATATCTATATTATTATGTTGCTATGTGATTGTTTTCACTTAATCATATTATCGAAAATGTCGCTTGATGATCGTTAGAGTGATACAACTCCAGAATAATCCAACACCTTGCTGTTTTTATCTTCGTTGTTGCAGGAGCTTGTTCTTAGAGACAATCAAATGACGAAAATACCTGATGCGAGCATATACAAGAGGCTTTTGATATTTGATGTTTCTTTCAACGAAATCACTTCGTTACATGGCTTATCCAAGGTCTCCAATTCACTGAAGGAACTTTATGTATCTAAGAATGAAGTTGCTAGAATCGAAGAGCTAGACCACTTCCAGCAGTTGCGGATTCTTGAGCTTGGTTCCAATAGACTGCGGGTTTGCTCTCTATATCTAATCTATGCTGTATCAACTAGTCTACAATATGAGTTTTTATGAGCTGTAATTACAACTAGTAGTCATAGGTATATTATGAAGTGTATATATGATCATCCATGCTTTACTATTTCATACAGTATTCTTTATATATTGAAGGCGCAATGCACATGGTGAAACAAAAAAGCTCAAAAATAAGAGTCCTGAAGAAGTAAATGAATGAGAATTTAGTTTGTTTCTGCTCAACAGATATGAAGGTTCTTGAATAATAGTATTGCGATTGAAGTTCCTGTGCTGCTTGACAGGTAATGGAGAATTTGAAAAACTTGACCAATTTACAGGAGCTTTGGTTAGGTCGTAACCGGATCAAGGCAGTTAACCTCTGCGGACTAAAATGTCTCAAGAAAATTAGTTTACAGAGCAATCGTTTGACTTCAATGACAGGATTTGAGGTATGATGATAACTGAATGTGGCAAATGTTTGTTGTTGCACTTGCAAGATAAACCTCCTGCTGCATTCAATGTGAACTTTTATCTTCGTTGTTTGCCCCAACTTTCCAGGACTGTGTTGCTTTGGAAGAACTATATCTGAGCCATAATGGAATTTCAAAAATTGAAAGCATGTCAACCTTAGTCAATCTTCGTATATTGGATGTTTCATCAAATAAGTTAACGAGTGTGAGTGACATTCAAAATCTGACATGGTATCACGAATTCCCTAGCTCCGTCTTGTACAACATGCTTAACTTTTTTAGGGTGATAATCCGGTCTCCTCATTGGATCTATCTTTCCAGTTTAGAAGATTTGTGGCTTAACGACAACCAAATAGAATCACTTGAAAGCATTTCTGAGGATGTTGCTGGTTCAAGACAGAAGCTCACAACCATCTACCTTGAGAACAATCCATGTGTAAGTTTCCAAACTGGTTAATGTTTCATCGACTAATTGCTTCTGGCTCGTTGGTGCTTCACTTGTGTGATAATCTCTTTTTGGTCTACATTTCTTTATATTCCGTATTTCAGCTTTTTAACTTCTGAGGAAAAAGTGTCTGAGACCTTATTTGATAAAAAGTTATTTTAGTTTTTGGTTTTTAAAGAATAAAGCTATTGACCGATAATTATTTGTTTAATTTTCTTATTTTTAAAGACACTTTTGAAAATTATTAAACTTTGTAGACTAGTATTTTTAGTTCTTAAAATTTTACTAGGATTTTAAAAACAGTTTAAAAATGCATACAGACAAAGAAATTGTTCCTGAACAAGCCTGTTTTTAGGAAACGGAAAATTAAAAAAAAAATGATTATCAAATGAGCTTTATTTGAATTAATCAATTTGGCAACTTCTCTTAGTAATTATTCCCTGATAGGTTTATGCGTAATTATTGTTCTATTTGGCATGCTTGCTACATCTACTCACTCTATTTATAATCAGCTATCTGAAATTGTTATCTAGTTATCTTATAATTTACATGAGAGGACTCAGAACAGGAATTTAATGGATCAAATAGAAGTTTTGTGTCGTATATGCTATACCTCATGTATCAGCATGTATCTGATATTTTTCTTAAATCTAAAATAATAGAGAATGCCCTGCATCTCCTCTTAAGCTAGGATTTCTCTTGCGGGGTTGGTCAAAGAAATAAAGGCTAATGAGAACCATTAATTGAGATTTTCATTTTAAAAAATTGGTTCGTTTTTTCATTTAAAAAAATTGAGATTTCAAAATCAGTTTTTAAAATTTTTATTCGATGTAATATCCTGCAGCTATTCATATTGATGGACCTCTGCATTTGGAATTTTCGTCCAAGTTGTTAGACATATTCAACTTTCTTTGACACCATCTAAATTTAAAATCGTCACTGTTTGCAGGCAAAGTCTCCCAACTATTTCGCCAGACTAAGACAGATTTTTCCGAACATTCAGCAAATTGATTCGGAGGTCTTTACCAAGAACTTCTGAGAGCAGCAGCCAACTTCTTGTTGTGACAGCCATAATATGCAAGTAATACTTACTCCACTATCCGCTCTTTCACTGTTTTAGTGAAGCCAAATCGGCCATTTTCGCAATTTATTAATTATTTTTCTTTCTTGTGGGTCTGTTCAGCAGGTAAATTATCAATCAAATGTTATACAGGAGGGGGCAATACAATATTCGTTTGTTGATTTCTGCCCTGCTCTCTTTTCCTTTACCAATATTTATTGTTGCTTTGCTCTTAAATGATTTCTTCTTTATCCGACCAAATTTTGCATGTTATTTTGAGTGCAAAACCTTGTTCTAATCTTGTTCGAACAGTTCCAAACACTTCTTGTAAAGTTTGAGATTTGAGAGTTAGTAGAGATAACGATATCCCAGCTGTGTCTAAAAGTATCTCTAAGAAAATTTTAGAGGATTGAAGTCAGTTTCAAGTTTAAATGTCTTTGTGAATTTTTCTGAATGGGTTAGCTGAAAATGTCATTCTTGCCCCTTGGCACACAAAGGAAAACAGCAGCAGAAGCCACAAGACTAAGGGCAGAGACGTAAAAGTGCTACGAATTGCTGTCAAATGCGAGAATGCAACCTAACTTGGTCTGGTTCAGGTGAATGCTCTCTGTCACAAAAACTTTCTTCTTTTAATTATCATAAATTGATTATGTAATTAGTTGGAGATTAGATGCTGTTTTGAGTCCAGGGTTTTGGTGAATAAAAAATCATTTTTGTTTTCGCTGGGTAGGAAAAAAAATACAGAAAAGTAAGAGATATTTAACAGAATAATACGTATTTTATTTATTATTTAACTGAGCAGAGTACATTTCTAAATGGATAAATATTTAGAATTGGGTGTCGAATTTTATAACTTCAGATTCTTTTGTTGAATGGTTGATTCGTGGTCCATTAAATTTCCAGTTCTAAGATTTTGAAAAGATGTTTATGAAATTAGAAGTGAATTTAAAAATAAAAAATTTTCTACTTCTCGAAATCTTTTTTTTTCCGACACGATAGGTAGCCCACTTTCTTTCAACAATGTCTCTCTCATATACTTCTGTACCTTATTTTTCTCACTTCAAAATTTTTGTTAAGTGAAGTGATTAATAGATTCACTTTTATTAATTTTTTAAATACAAAACCAAAGTCAACAAATAAGACAGCAAATTTAACAAATTGAATAGAAAATTTTTATGCAAATTTAGAGACTAAAAATACTTCCCCCGCTCCCCCAACTTCATGTTTTGAGCATTTATTTCTCTCGACTTTGCCCTTACCTTATAATCAAGCCCCCGCTCCCCCAACATCATGTTTATTTTTATCGTGTTTCTCACTAAAGTATTCTATTTCTCTCTACAAAATTAATCCTTCAATAAAATTAATTTCTATAAGTTTCCTTTTCCTTAAATGATATTAATAAATTTCATTTGTGTCTTTCAGATATTAGGTTCACGTAGTAACTTGCTATCTTAATAAACTCTTATTGCCTTCTTATGTTATAAATATTCATAGAAATTGAAGAAAACAAGCATAGTTTTCAAAAATAGAAAAAAGTGAGAGACATCGAAAATAAAACTATAAACAGGAGATAAAAGACCAGAAACAAAAATCTTATCAAACATTTAAAAGTCGAATTTTTATTATATGTGCTTCAAAATGGGTGAAAGAGAATACCTGTCGACGTGTTTGCCCTCCAAAATCCATGATTCGGTAGCTTTCATTTTCTCCTATTTTTCTTAATAATTTATTATTTGGTGGCGGTCGTCGTCGATCATTCTTTTTCATCATTACTCTCTCACGAATAGGGTTTTCGGTTAATAAATCAAAGCAAGAGAATCGGAAAGGAAAATCCAGCGTAGGTTCTATGTTCCTTTTTTTTTTCCTAAATGAACCGTTTCACCTGTGATCGACAAAGAAGAAGATAAGCAAATAATTAAAGAAGGTAACAAATTTTCAATCGAAAATTAAAGAGAAAAAAAAAAGTGACATTCAAATCTCAATTGTTTGTTCCCTAGGCCGATTCAAATCTCAAGTGTAAAGTAAAGATCGCAATACACAAAAATAAAATTAAAATAACGTCAGATGAAAATGAAAATTCACTAATACATCCAACTTAATCTATAACAACTCTTCCTGAAATTTTGAAAAGAAAATCGTAATTTTGTGTTTTTAAACTAGACCAGAAATATCTTAAATCATTCAAAAAATGCATGAAAAAATTATCTCGTGAATGATAAATTGATAAAGATTGAAAAAGTCACCTCAAGGCATCTAAGATATACATGTGAAAAATTTGGCACCATTTTCTCCGAAAATTATTCCCTTGATCAGTATGCCAACTTTTCCACCTGTCGCAACGAAACTCAATCCAGATGAGTAAGAGATCTTCCAACGCAAGAAGAAAAAGCATACAGAAAACAAATAGGGTAAAAAAATGGCACTCAATAAAAGGTCAAAATACATGATAAAACTGATTGCATTGTACCTCCTAATGCCCTCTTTCGAACCCAATGCGAGTTCTACCGGAGCCACCATCATAACCATCTCGCGTCGAAGAACCACCACTGGCTCTCATCGTCCCGCCACTGCCAACTTTATCCATAGCTTTTTTACCTTTCTTCACTTCAGTCAAGAACTGATCAAGTCCAAATGGATCGGCTTCCTCGACCTCTCTTTCAAACTCAACTGGCCTGTCTCTAGGTCCAGACCTTTCTGCAGTGCCCGAAAACGACTTGTCGGGTTTGAAGCGATCAGTCTTCATAATCTTGTCCAACTGTTCATCAGCACCTCCATACATATCGGAATCAGCATCTTTTTTGGGTCTGTAAAGGGTTGAAAGAGTTGGTTGAGCAGTAAATAAGCCCTTGTCGTATATATTGTACTGGTCGTCAGTGGCGAATCCAGAGTCCATTCCTTTATCTTGGTTAAATAGCCTCTGGTCATACATAACCTCTCCTTCTCTACCTGCTCCAGTAGAAGCCATACCAAGTGCAACCTTCTCACTGATATCACGATCTCTATCTCTTGTAATCTTACTCTTCTTCCCCATTGCTGCATCTTTGGCCTCTAACCTTCTTTCCCTTTCCCTCTCTCGACGTCGTTCTTCACGAATCTTCTCGCGCTGCAACCGCTCTTCCCTTTCTTCCCGCGTCTCCCTTGGTAAATCCTTCTCTTTTTCTCTTACACGCTCGAAATCCCCTTTCACCTCAGAAGCATCTTCTGCGCTCCTCTCAGATGGATAAGGAATCGCAGAAGGAGGTGCAGCTCCAGTCCTCTCAGACCGAGCTTTCTGAGCCAAAGCACGGAGCTCCAGCTCCTTTTTCTCTTTCTGTTTCATGAGCATTTCTTTCTGAACCTTCGATCTCATTGCAACTGCTTCTCTAGCTTTCTGTTCTGCAACGTACAGTGCTTCAGATAGCTTTGCAAAATTGTCATTAATTTGGACTTCTTGAAGGCCTCTCCCGTCAGCTGCAAGGCGCTTATCAAGTGGGATTGTATAACCTTTTGGATTTTTCCAATTTGAAATACAAGGTGGTATCTTCCAATCCTGTTGATCCTTCACGGTGACGGGACGAGGTGGGGAATGCATGACAGGCACTGGCGGAGAACCAGAAGCTCTAGGAACACGCTTATGCTTGAACTTTGGAGGCTCAAGTGGATCTACTGGCATCTCCACCATTCTAATTATTCTCTCCTTGGCACCTGAATTAAAAGCAGCTGATTGCTGAGATGGCTTATACTTGATAAACTTTGAATCCGATGATTGTTTGGGTACATTTTTAGGCTGAGCTGCACTCAATCTGACATTAACTATCTTTTCGAGTGCAGACTTTGTTTCCTCGGTCGTTTCTTCAATCTCTTTCTGCAACTCTTCATCTTCTTCCTCATCATGGTCTTCATCATTTTTCAAAATCTTTGGAATGAGGTCTTTATGCTGCGAGTAGACAATCTTTTTAGAATTTTCATTCTGCTTGACAATAGCATCATATGCAACATTTCCACGAGCATCCACTGTAACAGGAAGGATCTTTGATCCAGGCTTTGATGATTTGTCTCTACCCATGTCAAGTGGGTATTGAGCAATGTGAATCTCTGGGAATGCACCACCATCTCCGAAATCCTCTACTTTCCGTGGAACAAATCCACTACGCTTCAAGTAAGGTGGCACAGGAATGGGTTTGATAACAGAAGTTTGCTCTGCTTCTGATGTACTAAACCGCTGCTTGAACCATGGATCATTTGAGTGATCATAGTGCATTACAGTCGTTGACTTTACAGCAGGAAGAAGGTCTTTCAGAGTTGCCATGATTTTTGCCTAACTAAAAGGATCTGCAGAGACTAAAATATCAATTGGTATGAAATGTTATTATTTGTTGAAAGTGAAAAAACTAACAAACACCTTGATCTAAAATACCATTAACCCAGACCAGAATTTACTTCTGCAGTAAAAAGGATCTCTCACTAACAAGGGGCTTTAAATTTGAGAGAATCCATTCAATTCTGACCAATAATAGTTGCTAGCAAAAAATGAAGAAGCTGAGAGCTTCCCAGAATAATAAGTTTCAATCTATAAGGGAAAAGAGGGGAAAAGTTTCTAGTTCACTCGCAAAAACAGGTGCAAATAAGGTGGGAGGATAACTTATTTCAATAAATACTACCTTAACAGAAAACTCTGTTGACATTTCCAATGAAATTAACCCAATTTAATTTTTAAGTAGGATGTTCTCATCAATCGCTTCTGATACAACTTATGTATAAAACCTTTGAATTAATTTAATTTTGTTTTAGTAGCAAGTAAAACCCAAGGGGTTAGTCTGCTTGGGGCCTTGGCCAATCCAAGGGTCAAATCAAAAGATCATTTGCTTCCAGCTTGATATAAAACTAGCCAATGGTTGGGACATTGATGCAATATACAACAATTACAATAGAAGAAGTGAGAAATTATCAACCAGATGGCTACCAAATTGATTGACTTGCACAGAATTTCAAAACTTGAAACTAATGTGACCGAATATTGATGTGAGTCGCGATTATAAATTCATTGATTCTAAGTAGAAGAAGGAAATTGGAACGAGAAACCTCACCTAACTATAACAAAATTTGACCTGCGTTTATAACCAATTTCTGAGGATTGTTTATAAAAGATTATTTAGTTACAGACTTTTTATTTCCAATCAGAGAAATTTGGAATCAAATTCAGGATCAGATAATTGATGACAGAGTTTTTTTCAAAAAAAAAGAAAAAAAAAGAAGAGCAGGCAAGGGCCTTTCAATGTTCAACTTAATGACTCTGCATTCATGGAGAATTCAATTATAATCAATTTTAAAATACGAATAAATCATTAAAATTCTAGAATAAGATCATCAGCTCAATCCAATGGTTAATTCATTTGAAAAGAAGCTTGAAAAAACATCAGTTTCCAGCTTGATATAACCCTAGCCAAAGGTCGAGACATTGATGCAATAAACAACAATTACAAAGAGAAACTGTCAATCAGATGTCTGCCAAATTGTTTGACTTCCATAGAATTTCAAAACTTGAAACCTGAGGTGAGATTGTGACTATAAATTTATTGATTCTAAGTAGGCGAAGGAGATTAAAACTTAAAAACTATTCTTACTGTAACAAAATTGGACTTGTCTTCTATACAATTTATGAGAGTTCTTTGTTAAAGAGTACTTAGTTGCATTTCACACTACTTTAATTCCAACTAAATAAACTTGGAAGTCAACTTCATAATCAAGATAATCGATGAAAAAGTTAAATAAAATAAAACGCCAGAAATTATTGGCATGCCAAGAATCTTCAATATTCAAATCAATGAGTCCAAAGTTAGAGAAATCATACTCTATCGATTCTAGAAGACAGTAAGATCTTCGGACTGCTAGAATTTGAGATCCAGTTCCATACTAATATGAAGCAAGAGAAGAAATAGTTTATAGCATAATAAATTACAATTCGCACTGCCAGTAACGGGAATAACACCATCAATATTCAACGCAACGACTCCAAATTCATAGATAAATTATTCTTTACCGATTTTAAAATACGAATAGTTCATCAGAACGCTAGAACAAGATCTCCAGTTCCACAAGAATATGAAGTAAGAGAGAAGCAATAGCTTATAGCATGAGAAATCAAATTACGATTCTCATCACCAGAAGCAAGAATCAAACCATCAATATTCAACTCAATGACTCCGAAAATTCATATAGAAATCATTCTTTATCGACTGTAAAATACTAATAGACCTTCAGAGTTCAGAATACTAGAATAAAATCTCCAGCTCCACACGAATATGAAGGAAGAAAGGAGAAAGAAGAACTTATAGCATAAGAAATCACGATTCTCACCAGTAGAGACAAAAAAACACCATCAATGTTCAACTCAATGACTTCGAATTCACGGAGAAAACATTCTTGATCGATTATTAAATAGATCTTCGGAATGCTAAAATAATCTCTCCGTTCCACACGAATATGAAGGAAAAGAGAAGAAACAGCTTATAGCACAATAATTCTCACCATCAGAGACAAGAATAACACTATCCTGTTTCCAGATTCCAGTTCAAAATCCATCAATCACGAAACAAATGAAACTTACAGGTAGCGAACCTCTGAAACACGACAGACGCGGAAACCGACTTTGTTTCTGCAACTAGGAAATAGACGCCGAAAGGCGTAGATCGGCGACGGCTCCGTGAGTAAAGAAGGTGAGCTTCCAGCGATGGCCTCGGTTGAGCAGAGAGAAAAGAGAAGGAATGAGAAAGAGAGATATGGTTTTTGGTTCGATCCTCAGCGAGAACTTGGGTTCGCTGAGACGGAAATTCCGGCTTGGGGTAATGGGCAAGCTATATATATATATGCTGCAGTTCACGCACCAACCTTCGACGCCGCCCCTTCTTGAATTCTCGTTATTACCCCTTTCTTTATACGATATTCCGCTTTTTTCCTCACTTTTTTAGTTTCCATTTGTACCCTTCCACGGCTGGTGTTTTCCATTATAATTCGTCTATTTAAGAGTATTTAAGAGTCCTAATTACGTAGAATGGTGAAAAAGTATACAATTTACACTTATCCTAACAAAAATATCGGATCATTTCTACAACATCGTCGTGTCTCTGGCGATTCTGATTTCTTTGTTTGCAGAACATTTCACCGCCAGCCTCCGTCGCATCTAATTCCGTTGGTTACCATTATACGGTAACATCGTTGATGTCTCCCTTTGTCTCAGGCGGCTCAATTATACGGTAACATCTAATTTCATCTCCGGCCTCCATCGCGTGAGCATTTCAGTCCATCGATTCCCATTATATCGTAGTTTATGCTATATTTAGGTGTAAATTTTGGACAGAATCGAGGTTCATCTCTTGCTCTCTGGTTCTATTGTTTAAATTAGTTCTTAAAACTAGAGATATAATATATATCATACGAAAATAGAACCAGAGAAATCAGAACTATATACTCATATATTATATCTTTTGTTCTATTGTTTTATGTATCATTTAACTAGAGATATAATATATATCCTACAGAAATAGAACAATATCGAGAAATCGGAAGAAATAAAACAATACATAAATATATATATCATACGGAAATAGAACCACATAATCAGAGAAATCAGAACTATATACTCGTATATTATATCTCTGGTTCTATTGTTTTATGTATTATTTATATCTCTAGTTTTATGTAGCAGAAATTGGAAGAAATGAGGATCATGATATTTGAATATTTTTTAATTAATAATATTGATAAATAAAGAAAATCAATCTTTTTGGAAGGATTTGAAGGGGTGAATTAAGAGATTTGAATTGACAATTAATATGAGACCCACATTAATTAAAGGATTGTGATATTAATTTATGGAAATAACTATTTTATATTAAAAAAAACTATAAATGAAAATGAAATAAGTAAAGGTAAATTCAAAATTAAACTAAAATCCTACTCGTAGAAATCTAAAACGGTATAGGATACTATTGACCATAGAGCTAGCATACGTCCAAAATGACCAAATTTTATGGATGTGTTTTCCTTTTCCCTTTTTCTCTCTAACATTCATGATTTTTTTTAATTTTTTTTTTGTGCAAGTGATTTGAATAATTTTTATAAAATTTTCAACTACAACATACGTTTGTTTAGTCTTTATACTCTTAAAAATTTGACTTTTTTTTTTTAATTTTGATTGTTACTTTCATCTATTTTATTTCAATCCAAATTTTAGCATGAAACTACCTTTACTAAATTTCTTAAAATATAATCTTAAATTTGTATTAAAAAATTTATATTATGCACAAAATGTAGATTAAAATTTTACAAATAAAGTCTAAAATGATCAGTTTTTTAAATTATAAAGACCAAATGTAGTTAAAATTTTACAAATAGAGACTAAAATTATTAGTTTTTCAAATTATAAAGACCAAATGTAGATTAAAATTTTACAAATAGAGACTAAAATTATCAGTTTTTTAATGAATGTTTTGAAAGTACATAAAATAAAATAAGCAGAAGTTAAAAATAAGTGGGAAAATGTTTTAAAAGTACGTAAACTAAAATAAGCAGAAGTTAAAAGTAAGTGGAAAAAATGAACATTTTAAAAGGAACAGAATAGTATTTAAATTTTATTAGGATTACTTATATAAACATAACTCAACTAATCAAAACATCTCAAATTCTCACACCTTTAATGGAACTAAAAATTAAATTATTATAATTTTTTTAATTTTTAGAACAACTATTATAATATCTATATTAATCGATGATATGAATCAATATTTAAATCAATCATCCATTAACCAACCTGAAATAACTCAACGCATCTACTGCTTCATTTGAGGTCCGAAATAGTTTAACGCATCTACTTCTTCCTTTGAGGTCGGAAGTTCAAATGCTATACATGTACTACAAATAATAATAATAATGAAGCACAAGAGAGGAAGAAACTATTGTCATAAAAACGTATACAATCTCAATCTACAACATTTAACAAATTTTCCATCTCAATGCACATGATTTATTGGTTCGAAGCAGGTGGGGAAAGATTTAAAATCACGCTGTTCTCAAATATGAATATAATCAGCCCAAAATGCACCATCTTCCTTCTCATTCTTCTACAAATCTACAAGCCTAAATCAATATACAACTAAAAACTCACGACATACACTTCAATCAATGAACATACAGGGGAGGGAAACACAAAAATCATCAGTATCAGATTACAACTGCCAAAAGAAGAAAATTAACTCCCTATTTAAAGTTGAAGTTTGTGTGTCATTTCTTACGGTGTGGTATGAGATATGTATGTTAAAAAGAAGTGTGTCACAATCAGATGGTTGAAGAAAGCAGAGGAACCTCACCAAGTATGCTGTGTTCTTTGTCCTTTTACCTAACTATGTATAGAACAGGCTGTAACTGTAAGGATCCAGAGGAACAAAAGTCTGCATATCTCGCACCGGGACTGTGGATGCAAGAAACTGCACTTTCCTACGACGATATCAAGCAAGAATGTTCTCTCTGAGGACCGTAAATTTCAATGCACGAACTCATAACTTGTTGCCACAATTGGCACAAGGCTGCCTTCTATGTACAGTATATCATTGGATTGGTGAGGCATGGAATTCTATTCCAGCTCTAATCTTGAAGAGAATCATTTACATTGGTAAGTTCGTCAGCAAATCTGTCATAGTTTTTTGGGCAAATTGTAAGTCTTCTTGAGAAACTTTGCAGCTATCTCATCGTTGCGATAGCACAAGACACGGAGAAGGGTGTTCGGCTCGGTTGGACCCCAATGGCCAGAAGTTGGTGGCAAAGGAAGCCTGGATTTAGCTTGAGTGCCATGTGATTCCACCATTGCACATTTGAACTGTTCGATTAGACTTTCTGAGTCTGAACAAAATAGATCGATAACTCCCTTAACGTTTCCTGCATGTTTACTAATCAAATCAGCAGGCAGTCCATCCCCATTAGACCAAAATAGATCTGTAAGAAACTTAAAATCCTCCTCTATTAGTTCTGAATCTTGCTTAAGGAAAGTACGAGACGGTCCCCCAGCAAGTAAAACCAAAAGAAAACATTCTAAAGAGGCTTTCATCACGTCAGTTATAACTCGCGTTCTGACTCTGTCATGGACAACTGTTGATGAAATAGTTTCTAAATATTGCTCAAGCTCCTGAAGGAATGGCTCAATCCTTGAAGATGCAACTTCCCGTATATATAAGCCATCCCATAAAAATTGACTGAGATCATGAAATACAACTTTGTATGCTGTTGCTTCACATAGTTGCCTTATCCCTTCCACACATGAAGACGCCGAGAGCTCAAACCATTTCCCAGCTTGGTTCCTAACAGCATCTGTGTAAGTAGAATCGAGATTCTTAAGACGGGCAATTGCTTTTCTTTCCTGAACTTCCAGCTCGCTCCGAATATGGTGCAAAGAATTGATACAAACGCATAGCTGAGGTATCGACAAAGAGTTGTCCATGCCTGTGATCCCAAATTGGGTTTTTCTACCCTGACCTGTTTGCAATTTTTCCTTCTTTTTAAACACGCCGAACTTTGATCCTTTCGAACATCTAGTTAAAGCAGGAAGAGCAGGAATATAGGTGCTTCGAGAACCTGAAAAGATATAATATCCATTTGATGGTTGTACAAGATCAATAACTTCCTTTAAGTTCTAAAAATAAAAAATAAAAAATCTTGCTGTAGTAAAAATAGGACACTCACCGCAGCCAGATTTTGCCTTAAGTATGTACTGCTGCAAGCATTTATCAAGACCAGTCATTAGATCAGGAAGCAACGATGCGTGCTGCGGTATCGGTAACAGAAAAAATGCTTCAAAACTTTCATCGACAATTCGTAGAACTTCAACGACAGAAGGAGCAATATGCTCTTTGTTTGCACGTGGGTTCCACACCTATCAAAAGTGTTCATAAATGATAGTTCAATATCAATATGAAAAGTATAGTAAAATGTACAAATATGTAACTGCCAGAGTTTATCCCCAGTCTATAGACCTATATTTAGAGGCAAACCATTTCCAATATACAGAACTACCACCAATCTAAATCTATATAACAGCCAGATATGTCACAACCACATACCTCTTGTTGAAGGAATCTACCAATCCATTCCTTTAACCTGTCCACTCTCATAGTGATCCACGACTTCACGAGGTTCCCAATTAGCGCTTCAGCTTCATAAGGAGGCATCTCTTGTATTATGGACTTCCCACCATCTTCGCTGTCTACCGAATCTCCTACTGCGATCTGTACGAGATCCTTCTCCAATTTATCAGCTGCGTTCAGCACTTCAATAGCATCAGGCGTCAGTTCACCGATACCCGAAATGAATTTTTTCAGTTCCTTCCCATAACAAGAATGAAGTGTTGACACGGCTACTCCTGCTGCATTAGGGTGCCATTCCTTCAATATCGGACTAATCATCGCCTTCTCGTCAAAGGCCAGTTCACTCATGTCTTGTGCAAGGACGGAAAGAACATGAACTGGACTTTTCTGGTTTTTAGAGGAATACTTGCTTGATTTCACCTGCTCCATTTTCTGTTATGAGGACAAGAAGAGTCTTCAGTGACAATGCATGAAGCAGGGAAAAAGGAAGCTGGCTTGCCAAAGCATAACAAAAAAATTTCAAGACAAAGAAAAAGACAACCGTTACATAAAATCAAGTTTCTATAGCCTATTCCATTATACAGTTCCAACAAAGATCACACAAATTCAAATTTAGATTTCCAACCTCAAGTTTCATAAATCCAAACTAAAATAACTTTAACCCAAGCATTCCCTTAGAGAGTTAAACAAAGTCAATTAATAGGAGAGAATCTTTAACTGATCACACTTGCCTTAGAAAAAGCCGTTTGAAGTGACGATCGTATATATTTATCAACCTTGTTATAAGCCACATCAACTTCTACCTTCTTCCAATCATGGTTGTGACCATTTTGCATTAACTCGGACGATAACACTGCAATAGAAACTAGGTTTTGCATACACTCAATATTGTCACTGTGAAAGTCGCTGCGATATGCAATAAGCTTTCTCTCCGTCCAAACCAGAATCGAACTAAGAGTGGCATTCAGGATGGTTGAATAAATAGGATCCTTGAAGGACTCAACCTCGTTCTCAACTTCAGCCAACAGGCTTTTGGATGCAAATAACAAGTCACTAGCCACCTGCCCCGTGCCAACATAATGATTGAATAAAACCCACGAGAAACAAAGATTATGCAGCATCTGGTTCATACCAAGCACCACCCAAGTTTTCTTAACGTGTTCCAAGACCTCATCAACCTCTTCAATGATAGAAGTTGCATCATTAGCATCAAAACAAGCTTCTAACAGCGTTTGGTAGAGCCTGAGATTTAAAGGGAACCCATCTGCCCAATGGCACGTGCTTGGATCAGACTCGCAAACTGATCTACAAGCAAGAGACAACACGATACTTCGGAGGTCTTGTATTGTTTCAAAGTTCTTTCCTGCATCAATGGGTTTCTCCATAGCACCACGAACAATGTGCCGAAAACGTTTTGGAGCATCACCTGTCTTTTCTAGCGGCATGTGAGGATGCAATAGAAGTCCTACTTCAAGAACCTTTAAATACCGCCTTTGCCAAGCCATGTATTCTTCACTGTTTTGAAAGTCCAAGGCCTTGAGCTGTTGAAAGAGCTCAAGGGGCAGAACCATCGACTCTATGCGTCTTCCAAGCTGACAAAAGTACAAGGAGCGTTAACACATGGCATAAAAGATGGATTGCAACATACAGAAATGCCTCATGGCTCTTTGTATTGGAGGACTCCACTATTTGCATTATGCCCATGGCCTACCTATAGACCCCTAGGAGGCTTCATCTACTCTAGGACCAGATTTTGAGACCGGGTTGGTCTACTTTGAAACAAGCTCTGGGAGATTAAAAGAGTTCTAAATTATCAAGTTTTCATCTCGAGGCGGCCTTGGTATCTTTTACCACAAAAGCCACCCAAATGGCTAAACTCTTGAATCCATAATCCTCAAATAATGTAATAAAGATGCATTTGCTAAATATACTAAGCATTTCCAAAGCATATAGGAAAATAGTAATAACACACGTTCACAAAAGCTTCTCATCCAAATTAATCACAATCGCGTCTTTTTTCCACGGGAAGCTGCTAAGACAAGCAATAATCTATCATCAAAACGAATTACGAAGCAGAAGGGGGGGAAAGTTATGTTTTCCATGTCACTTCCCGAAACTTTCTAACCCACGAAGCAGAACATTCGACTTCACTTCCAAGTTTCAAAACGTACCTGTCCAGCAGTGATCCTCAACAGTGCCCTTCTAATTCTCGAATCAATCTGCTCTGAAATTCTCATCTGAACCCTAATCAACTCCCCAACCGTCAATCCCGATTTCGCTCGACCTTGACTTCCCGAATCATCGCCTCCGATTGTCCTCTTCTTCGCCGACGACGACGATTTAAGCCCTAGCGCCTTCTTAAATTTGCTCGCAGCCGTCGACGTCAGCGACCGGTGTAGCGACGGCGCCGTCGACATCGACCGGTCAACTCCCCTCTCCGACTGCGAGATATAAGTTAACGGCTTCCCTCCGGTGCTCCGGCACGATCCAATCAAGATCTCGTACGCGGTTACTCGAAGCTCCGAGTCGGACAGTTGCAGGCCTAAGTCGCCGAACGGCGAAGGGATCTCGTCAATCGGATAAACTGGCATGGTTATGGAGGTCGCAGCGGCGCTGGTGGAAGCGGCGGCGGCCGAAGTAGTGTTAGTTGTTGTGTCAACTAGCACTGAGCTCGAACTCGAACCATGCCTCCTTGAGCTTCCTCGTGATCGCTCTCTGAATAAACGGGACATCGTTGCAACTTTTGAACAGAGAAAAGGCAAAGAATCGACGAGAAGGTAAGAATCGGAGGAGAAATTGTGGGGTCGGAGTTCGCTTTTCTCTCTCTTTCTCGTCAATTACGATTTACGATTAGCTTCCGTCGGATGTAAGAGACGACAGAGAAATTCCTCGCTTCGTTTTCAAGGAAAATCCATAGAAACGAAACAGAAATAGCTACCAGAAATCTGTAATTCACAAGAACAAGAGAATTTTCAACAACGATGGAAAGGTAAGGAGAGAGGGAGAGAGGTTTTTCGCTCCTTTTCAAGGGTGACAGTGTGAAAAAGAATAAATCTGACAGGAAGAACATTAGCATAGCACTAGCAGTTGATTAATTCAACGATTAATTAATCTAAAAAATCCATTTGGTCTTGCTTCTTTTTTTCTATTTTTTTAATAACATTATCAAATTTTGGCCATTAATTAAATTGATTTTTCAAGCATAACAATCGAAGCTAATAATCTACAAAATGCTAAGAACATTTTCTTATCAGTACTAGTCTACCTAGTCTCTCATTTACACTATAATTTTTTCTATAAATGGTTCTTCATGGGTGAGGGACCTTATATCATTTTTAATTGATATTGGCATGGTTAATCATGATGGTTTTATTTTTATTTTCATTTTTTGTTAGTACAATAAGAGAAGCGGGAGATTCAAACTTACAACTTATTCGTCAACGACAGGTGTCAATTAACGCTAGTTAAGTTCATGTTGGCACAATGGTTGTTTTATTATACTCCCACAAAACAAAAAATAGGGTAGTTGCAAATATGATAAAAACATTTAGTAAAATGAGTAAAATAACAAACACATTTAGTTTTTTCAAATATGACACTCTAAAAAAAYAGAGGTCCAATCTTAAAATGACAGTTTTACCCAAATGATATACATATGTAATATATCTATAATATATATGACTAATGATAAATGTATGTGATATACATCTGATATACTATTGATATGAATGTCAATATGTACAATATGTACATGACATATATCTGACATACTATGTGAGTGTCTGATATACTGATATGAGTATTTTATATACTATTAATATAAGTGAAAATTTACGTTATATTTAAAATTGTTAAAAAATAGGTGACATATTTTGAAATACATAAAAGATTTTTGCTATCACTGTAATTTTCCTAAATAAATATCTCATATGCTACACAAGGTAAGAAATTCATTGTGTTATGCAAAACAAGATGATCTACGAGAGTATTGATTGGACCACGTGTTATGAGATAATAAATTTCATATCGTAATTGGCGTATAGAGGGAAGATATGTCCAAGCTCTCGAGCTTGAAGAATAATTAGATGTTTTGAGATTGGGGTGTGTTTTGAGACATATTTTAACATCACTTGTATGATGATTAATTCTATTTCCAAAATGTTGCTTAAATCAATTATGGTTAAATCTCTATTTCAAAAATCATTGATTCTACGATCACTCTCAAAAACATATTTAGATGTTGGACAATACAAGAGTGGGAGGCAAGTATGCTTATCGAGTGGGGTTCTGTACCTACAATAAAATTAATCGATATTTACAAAGAAACAAGTTGAAACTAGCAATATCAAAATGTTGGAAGCCCTAGCAATTAGAGAAGGGTTGAAGAAAAATGCAATTCAAATTGAAACTGATTTTTCAGGGTAGCCAGTTTGCTGCACTTCGATGGATTATTGAAGAAATTATCCACCTTATGGATTGTTATGGAGCAATCTATTGTCACTTTTCAGGGGATAGGAAGAGAAGCCAATTTTTAGTGTTTTGTAACATGGACAAACGGGATTTCCATTCGATTCAATGGATTATTTTTTTATTATAAAAAAAAACAAAACAAAATAAAATCGGAAGCGAATTACATATAATAAAATAATTTTAAAAAATGACACACATAGAATATTAAAAAAAAAAAGTCAAATACATTAAACAAACATTTGAATAATATGATGGAATGAAAAAAATAATATTCTCAATTTTTGTAGTAGAATAAAAACAAATCATTCTTGTACTCAAAAAAGAGAAATCATTCTTTAATATGTGGCCTTTTAACTTTTTTAATTACAATTTTTTTTTATAAATAACTCCATAATGTTAGAATTTGAAAGTCTCGAGTCGCAAGAGTGATAGAGATCACTTGCAAAATAATGATAAGTAAGTGAAAAGAAAAATCATTACATTTTTATATATTTTAAGTTTTATTAATAAATTTGTTTCCTAATCAACATAAAAATTAATAATTTACTTTTTTCTTTTTGCTTTTTTTGTTTTGTTTTTTGTTTTACCTGATAGTCCATCTCTCTTCACATTCTCCTTGCTACAAAATCCCAACATATAAATAGTAATAAAATTATCCTACATCAATACAAAATCGTGTCGGGGAGAATGAATCTTAGTCTACAGATTCTTAAAAAAATAATCCATTTTAAGTATAATCTAATATATCTCAATTTCTCTCTCTCTTTTATTAATATCTATGAATGGAGCAAAGAATATATATTTTTGAGTACTAAAAAGAATCCCTATTTCAAGCGAGGGGTAGAAACTTGAAAGCAAATACTCCATTCCATTCTCAATCTCCAATTAAAAGCCCAAATGAATTTCGTGCAAAACTCCACTTTTGAGCCCAAAATGATCATGGGCTTATATCTTTATCAAATGGGCAACATACAGGCCCAACTTGAATTGCTCCTTGGTTTCCCTGGAAATGGATTGGATACGGAGCCAATTATCACAATAATTTTTTTTCTTTTTATATATAATATTAAGAAAATAATTATTAGATTCGAAACTTCAATCTACTGAAAGAAAAAAAAAAGTTAGTTAATGTTTTAGCTTAACTACAGCTCACCTTTCTATCACAACGCGAGCTTAATTTAATTTAGCGACATATGTACTAAGAGATCATGAATTCAAATTCTCACCTTCATGATTGTTGTAATAAAAAAAATCCTCTTTTCTATTATCTTAAAAAATTATGCCACATCTCATAATAATTATTTTTTAAAAATTAAACTTACAACCATTATTTAGAACACAACTATGTATTCTACTTTGAAAAATCATTTTTAAAAATCCAATCTAAAATTTTTGAAAACAAAAATAAGTAGTTCACGAAAACTTGTTTTTATTTTAAAAATTTTGTTGAAAATTTAGATGTTTGTTGAACAAAGGTGAAAATTTTGAGAAAACAATCCTAATTAAAAAAAATAGAATTGTTATCCAATAAAACCTTAATTTGTTTATTTTAAGTATTTAAATATAATATTCACCATGTGCAGGTGGCAAAAACCCAAAAGAAAAAATGCGTAAATATCGTGGCAGGACTGGAATTGATCAATTGTTTGTCCTTCTAAAATCAAAACTTCATATTTTTAATTTCGAATTGGGTCCAAAATCGACGGTGAACAATTTGAAATTTATTTATAAAAAAAAAATATTCCGGACAAATCAATATACTTGAAAATATATTTTTCAAATGAGGGTATTATGGAGTATGTCAAAGCCTAGATTTACTCCTCTATCCTTGCCCCACCCCTAAATCACTGTCTTATCTCGTTAAGATATTCGCTAAAAGTCAAAAGAAGCACACATAATACATTCCTTACAATAGAATGCCAGGAAATGAATTTTCATATGATGATTTTTCTCGAAGCAATAGATATATATTCATAAGACTTCAATGTTATATTAATTAATATTAATTAAATAAGTATAGAAGAATAAAATTCTAAACTAATATCAATCTAAATTTAATTTAGCAAAATCAATCTAAAAGATTTGAATCCCCATCCTATAAGTGGATATTAAAAATACTTTTCTCGATATATTTTTGTTAGATGTTACTCAACCTATCAGTTTAAATTTTTGTGTTGAGTGATGATTTATTTTATTCTTAATATGATATCGGAGTTTAAAATGCTTAAACGAGCATATAGTCCAAAAATAGGATTTAACCAAGATTGATAAATCTAAGCACCATCTCGAGAGAGCATGTTAAGGATCTCACGTTGAAAAAGACAAGGGACGTAACATCTAAGTGGAGTCACTCTTCTAATTGTCATCCTTAACTTGGTATCATAACAAAAGGTCATGTATTTGAACCCGTGCATGCATTGTTGTTTCCTCTCGATTTATAATACTTTCTACTTGTTGGGTTTGGTACAATTATCCAAACCCACAAACCTAAATTTTTTGGTTGAACGATGGTCTATTGATTCTTTTTGGTTAAACAGAGAGGCCACGTCGACATTGCAGATCAAATACGTGTGCAAGGCAATTACACGTGCGCCACGACCCGAAACCAAAAAGATGTTTGGGGGCAAAGGATCCCGACACTGGTGGACCCCGCAAATCCAGTGGGGTCCATACGCTACTTCTGTTCTCACCGTAAAGACCATATCACCGTCCAATCTTTTACCGCCACGTTCTTCAGTTTACCTTGAAAGTCAATTTCTTATCGTCACCGCGATGGTGACCCCAGAGATCTGACGGCAAAACGTTGGGCGATGGCTTTCGTCTATCACGTAGAAAAGTTACATAACGGAAACGGAACCTGAGTCGTGTCGGCACAATCCTATTGGTCCGTCTCGTGGAACCTTACCAAGCAGGTGTCGGCTTCAAGAGTCGGCAAATCTTTTATCCCGTATCTTATGCATGGCTAAATAGTTGGCGACAGTAATTAATGACGGGTCGATTGCAACTTATCATAGGATTATTTTTTTGGTTATGTTTTCTTTTTCAATTTTTAATTCTTTTTTAATTTCATCTTAATAATTTTGTGAGGGTATGTGGCCAGGAATTAATATAAATTTCGGCAATTAATTGATAGTCACCATTTGATAATTAACATATTTACATGTAACTCATCAAATGGATTGTCATCGACCGCTTTCATTTTTGTCTTTACTATTGTCCGAAATTTATGTGTCGGGTCATGTTATTTTATTGGAAGATGTCTAAAGTTTTGTTAAAATTTGTTTGATCATCCTAATATACTTAATTATTAAATATATACTATTCTTAAGGTTCTCAAATGATAGGATTCAACATGGTAGAACTACTAAAATTAAATGAAAAGGAAATGATATTTACACAATTTCAGCTTAAATTTGTATGTTTTAATACTACATCAAATTACCAATAAATCCCAGTATAATAAGCTAGAGCGTATAGGGTATAATTTTGATTTACGATCTTAGTAATTAATATGAAATAGGGAGAGGGAGGAAATGAGTTACAATATAAAAATTTGAAAGTCTCAAAATCTTTTA